TATCTTTTAATATGCAACTGCAAAGATAATATAGAGAGTAGCAACACCGTATAACAATTGGTGTCAGAAGTGAAAACGAACTCGAAGAAGAATTAACAGGTATGTAAAGATTTAAAGAAAATAATAGTAGAATAGGAAAATAATGGGTTATATAGACATGGTGACTGTTTTTGACCTGATACCGTCGTAAACCCTTGCAGGCGTGGGGGCTAAAATGTCGTGACTATATCCGACCCCCGATACAGTAAGCCTTGACAAGGTTAAAGTGTAATGGTCAAAACGGAAAGCCTACAATAATTGAACTTAATTTCCACCCGATTTTGACCTAAAACCGCGTAAACCCTTGCAGGCGTGGGGGCTAAAATGTCGTGACTATATCCGACCCCCGATACAGTAAGCCCTGACAAGGTTAAAGAGTAACGGTCAAAAAGGAACCCCTAATTATGCTTAATTCCCCCCTGATTTGCCATAAGGCCATAGTAAGACCTGAGCGGTTGCAGGGATACCTGTTGTAATGCCGTCGGGGTATTTTATTACTGAAGATGACTAAGGGACGGGGCTGAAACGGCCCGTAGGGCCGTCAAGCCCCTTAAATTTAAAAATCAAGGGACGGGGCTGAGATATTGTAGGTAATTTTGTGCCGGACCTTTTTGCTGGGAGACCTACAATTGTTACAGAGAACATCATAAATAACAACAAATGGTAACCTAATACTTATCGAACTTTACTGTTATTTTAAGGGTGGGTTAATTTCTTCTAACAATTCGTAGCAATTTCGCTGAATTATTGTCCACAGTAGGTTAAATTTATCCGATCGACTGAGTTGAAGCGAAAATTGGTTTCTCTTACTTTTGAAACCCTAATCGACCTTTTTAAATTCTGATTTTTATATATTTTCAAAAAAGGACCTTTTTTAATAACATATGTTAGTTTGAAAACCGGGGGAGCCCTAGAATGTCTGAAATTTCTCGATAACTGACTGGAACTGACGACGCGGTGGGAGATGATGCGCCGAGCGCGGCGGCTGAACTAGCCTTCCTTCCATGCGCTCGGACTCTATTCACATTGCGCCCCATGTAAAGTTCGAACCTTTATGCATAAGGTGACAAAACCAAGTGGTTCGATGCTAAAATCTAGGGATTTCCGGTACTCATTGCTGTTGCTACATGTAAATAATGAAATTAACACTTTTTGAAATCGAAAAAATACTTGTCGAGCATGGAATCGCAAGTCAAAAAGAGATTGACAAAACAAAAGAGACTTCTCACTACGGAATGAAGAAGATCAGCACCTTAGAAAACCTAAGTCTAACAAAATTTTCGAAAAAAGATCGAATTTTATGATTTACTCCAAGCGCACCGGGCGCGCACCGAGCCGCTCCACCACCAAGCTAAGCTCCGATGGTTTTTTCTCTTGCATTTTCAGAATCAGTGTAAAAAAGTGATCTAATGACCTTATTTTCGAGAAAAAGACACAAATCTGATTTCCCGATACAAATACCTAATAATTTACCTTCCAAATTGTTTGAAATTTGTTTTCTAGGGGTTTTCAAGTATACTGACTGCGATTATGGTGGATTTATTACTTAAAGTCAGTTTTATTCTTCTGAAATTTTTGAGTTAGATCAAATTATGGCAGTTTATTTTTTCTTTTAGCTTTTTTCCAAGCTCAATCAATTTTTTTCCTAAGGTTTCAAGCGCTTATTCCATAGCTTACAGCAATACAATCATGACTGACCGGAAATCCCGGTGATTTCCTCAATTCAAACATTGAACCACTTTATTTTGTCACCTTCTGCATAAAGGTTCGGTTCGCGCACCAGGCGCTCCGTAAACAGGCGCGCTCTTGCTCAAAGACCACCTTAGTCTCCACCACTTTTGACCAACTTCCCGATATTTCCCTTTCTTCAAATTTTCAGAGGACATAGATGGATGAGTTTGCAACTTGTTTTAAAAATAAAAAAGGCATTAAGAAAGCATTAATGGGTCTCAAAATGATGATTTTCTGAAAGAAATCGCTTTTTAACAATGAAAATGAAGACTTACGAACATAAAATATAGATATTTGAAATCAGCATCATTTTTCATCCTTTTTTGGTTATATACTCGTCAATTTTTTCAAAATTTATGAAAAAAATTATTTTTATATTCGTTTAAGGCAACCAATTCACCCCTCGAAATTTCCAATCATTTACTTGTTGGATAATAAAGTTAGAATTTTTGGGACAAACCTGAAATTGTCAACAAGGCCATCAAGGCAATCACGGCCAGCAATGCCATCAAGGCCATCAATTCCCAATTTCAGAATTTGAGAAGTTTTGTAGATTTGGTTGTTGTTGTTTTTATAAGCGCGATCCTAGAAACGTTCTTGCTCTCAGAAATTACTGCGTAGCTGAATTATTAACTTTTGAAGCAAAAAACGACGATTAGAAAGCAGAAAAAGCGGGCGTGCGCTCCGGGCCTGTCTTATAGCCTATAAGTTATAGGAAACCCAAGAAGTAACTTTCTAGAATTAATGGCCTTGATGGCGGTTTTGGCAAATTCAGGTTATCGGAAATTTTGATGATTTCTAAAATGAACTCGATGGGCTTGATGGCCTTATTGACAATTTCAGGTTTTCCCAATTTTTGTGTGCGCCGCACAGTGCGGACCCTAGATATGGCCCATATGATATGGCGGTCATCTTCGATTCTAGATAACCCCTTTTCATTAAGATCATTCAGGCCATTCAAAAACCCCTCGCAAAGAAACCTTATCAAATTGGAAAAATTTTCAGAACGTTTATAAAAAAAACTGTACATACCTAGGGTGAATTTACAAAAAAAATCAACTTTTTTCCTGTGAATCCTATCTTGTTGAAACTTGGCATGGTGAAAGATCATACCCGAGTTTTTAACAAAATTTTTTTTTCGAAAATTTTTTTTTCGTTTTTCAACCCTTTTCGCCCCGATAAACGAGTATCTTTTGAGCGCCTCCAGTCTGGGTGCTCTTTTTGGGCGGAATCGATGGTCGTCGGTCTTCTGATCATTATTCTAAAAAAAAATTTAGTGAAGCTATCACCGATGACTCAGAATCGGCATTTAATTGTGACGTAACAGTGTTATGTAACATAATTATCAATTAACAATAAGTCCTCCAGTACAGAGCTTGTAGCTAGTGGGCTGAAATTTTGGGATAATAAGGTATTGGCCCCCACTAAAAATATTGAAATTGTAAATTTTTTGGTCTGACCACGTGATCACGTGATACTGGTGATTTTTAAAAATTTTAACTTATTAAAATAAAACGGGGCCGTCTCAGCCCCGTTCCTTGATTTTTTAATTTAAGGGGCTTGACAAAGGCTGGGAAGTCTGAGTTGATCGGCTACTTTAGAGGGCGCTAGAAGAAAATCACATGATATTTTTGAAAAAAAAATTTTCAATATGAAGTTAATATGCATAGGAGAAGTCCCATACAAAAATTGAAAGCCGTACGACCCCTAGATCAAAAATTGATTTTTTGTAAATTCACCCTATACATACCACTAACGACGACTTCAAAAATTATTGAAGAATTCGTGCAATCTGTCGGTGACGGTTTTTATTACGTTGTTAAAACTGATTTCCACAGTCAAAGAATTTTGACTTTTTGTGAATTCGTTGCAAAATTGTAACAAATTAATTACTTGATTTTTTTATTTAAAAAAATTCTTGTGAGAAACATATTTTGAAAACATTTTGATTTAACATACACATGATACACCGAGCGTACCCAAACTAAAATTATCAATTGGACACAGAAAAAGATTATTTTCTTGAACGCTTCAAGTTGAAGCAATACATGAAATTTTCATTAATAAAAATTATTTCACCTACAAAAGGCATTAAAAACGATTAGGCCTGATCTTTTTATCGCAGTGAAAACTTAAAATTTTGCCTACAGTGGTGTGAGGAGTTTCCGCACCCTTTACGGTAAAAGTTTTACCCGCTCTTTAGGGGTGCGGAAACTCCTCACACCACTGTACTCCAAATTTGGCTGGTTTTGGTCGTAATTGACTGATTTAAGAATCTGGAAAAGACTAAAAAATTGGCCGCTTTTTCAAAAATAAAAAATTTTGGATCAAAATTGCGACCAAATTATGCTATTCCTTGGCATTTGAGTTTTTAAAGTGTTAAAATGGTTGTAGGCGGTCTCTTGCGAATTTAGTCCTACGAACACTGAAGTGCCTGTCGTGGGATTTTTAATCCCATGAAATAAAATATGCTGTCGTGGGTTTTTAAAAATCCCACGACAGACACTTCGGGTGTCGTAGGATTTTCAATCCCACCAAACCGCATTTCGGACCATTATTTTCGTGGGATTTTTCTGCTCAAAAGTCGAAAACATATTTGGAGTTACTAGTGCATCTCCAGAACAAAAATAATATTTTCAAAAATGATTGAGGAATTCGAAATGGATTTTAAAAGAGAATAAGAAGCTCTTATTCGCGGAGGATCCTTGTCTTCAGCTGATTTGAAAGAAATTATCAATGAAGCTAATGAAGGAATAATATATAAGTTATAATTAGGGTTTGTATCGGGAAATCAGATTTGTGTCTTTTTCCTCAAAAACATGGTCATTAGATCAGTTTTTCACACTGATTCTGAAAATGCTAAAGAATAAACCATCAGAGCTAAGCTTGGTGGTGGAGCGGCTCGGTGCGCGCACGCCCCCGGTGCGCTTGGAGTAAATCATAAAATTCGATCTTTTTTCGAGAAATTTGGTAGACTTAGGTTTTCAAAGGTGCTGATTAATAATAAATAACTTGTTTTATTAGATCCAACAGTTGAAAATAAATATTAATAAAAAAATAACATATTAAAGTTTCTTTCTTGCGAGACGTTTTGGGCGAATCGGAGTTTCAGCAATCGCAAGTTTCCTTTTTCCACTTTTTTCTTCTTTGATCTTTTTCCTCTCGATCTCCTTCTTTTCAGCTTCGATTCTTTGCTTCTGAATGTCCGCCCGCTTTCGACGAAATTGTTCCTACAGCTGTTTTCGGACTTCCTTCATTGTCTTCAGATCATTTGAGCTGTCGATTTTTCTCCAAAGTTCACCACGCTTCTTTTTCGACATTTTCTTCAAGTAAACAGATAGATTGTTGACTTGAGCGACAGTCATGTCAGCGATGTTAACGAAGGAAGAGCCGATGCTTGTGATTTCTCGTTGTTTCATCGAGCCGAAGACTCGCTCGCAGTGACGGTTCGAAGTTTCATATTTTCCTCGAAGATGAATAGAGTTCATCTGGTTGAAATCCATCAAAAGCTTTTTTCGGCTTCTTTCAGACACTCTCGAGTCGCTGAATTCATATCATCGCGAAGTTGCGCAAACCTTGGCATCGCTTTGATTTCAGCAAGCTTCCTTTAAGAAAAGGATAAGAATTTTTTTGAATTTATTTTTTGGGTAGAGCATAATTTCAGATCTTTATGAAAAAGGGTTGACGAGTTACAGGCCAAAAATGTCTAAAAACTATGAAGAACAGGTAAAGAGAAATTTTTATTCCACCAGCGTAATTCTCGGCCTAATTAAACCTAGATTCCATAAATTCTTTCTTGTAGGGGGAGTTTTTGTCTGTAATCCCCTAAAAAGGCTTGAAAATTGCGAAAATCAGCGGCGCGATGCCCTCGAGGCATCGTAAAAGCGAGGAAGGGTGTCCACAGCAATTTTTGATTATAAAATCGTTCTTTTTCAACTACAGTTGTTTCCTAATTCCAGGGCGCTGAATTTCCGGAAATTTTGCCATAAATATTTTTAAAAAGCTCTTGTTCGTGAATGGGTCCATTTGAACTTCAATCGGCGTTTAAACGTATCTTTGAGTATAATTTAAGACTCACCATTCACGACCCCAAAAAATTATTAATTAAGATACCGTGTTTGCTCAGATTTTTATTAGAAGAGACGTTTTGTAGTCGTTATAACTATGCTGCGAATATGACTTTTGCAGCAAGTTTAAATCGAGCGCGCCCAATGGTCATAAAACCATTAGCGCGCGCACTTCAAAACCGCTCACCTCCAGCGCTGGCCCAACATGGCCCATAAAACGATTACCGCCCTAGCCCACTACAAAATTTTACGACTATCTCCCTTTGTGGCTACCACCTACCACTACCTTATTGGCTACTACCGACACGGTTGGTACCCATCGTTCTGAATACGGCTACCACCTATTGTCTATAAATAGCGCCTCATTTCCTTTTCTGTACACTCATTCACCATTCACGCAAATCCACGCAAGCCCAAAAAGGGTAAAATACTGTTTTCTGATTCTGCTCCTACTGACTGCTCTGTCAGTACAATAAACGCTCCGTAGTTGTTCAACTACCCCAAAAACAATCGCCTAGTCTCACCTTAATTTGTTATTGTTTTGCATAGTAAAAGCACTACAGTTTATTGATTCGATTTCTTTTACATGTCTCTTCTGAAATTTGATATAAATAAATAGCCTAAAATTGACCTAGATTTGGTTATATAATTTTAATAAGAAAACATTGAAGTCATTCACGAAATTCGCCTATTTGCCGTTATGCCTATTTGTACTTTCTTTATCAGCGCTATATAATAACCATACAACGATGGTGTTGCTACGTAGTTTACTTAATAAAATGAAAAACTTACGAAAATTTTTGGAATTTGAAAAAGGGAGCAAAATTGGGAGCTCCCAAAGGGAGCTCCCTTTTGGGAGCAGGAGCACGGGTTTTTACGAGGGAGCTCCCTTTTTTAGGGTGAGGGAGCAGGGAGGGAGCGGGAGCACGGATTTTCTACCAGATTTCGAACTCTGTTCGCAAGTACCCGTGAGAGTACTTGTTACCACTGAATTGGAGGCCTGTAAGTGGCGATTAAAGTCGCGTTTGTTGTATTGACAGCCGTTTTACTTTGCAAACCACTAAATTAATTATTTCAATGAATTGAAAATCAAAAATTTTTACTCACAATTCTATTTGCGCATCCTTGGCTTGCGCATCGACACCAGCCGGTTTTATTTTCCCCGAGGAAAAACTCCTCCCATCTGTGATTACTCAAGGCCCGGTAAAGTTCAGTGGGTGATGACTGACTTGTTGCGTTCTTTTCGACCGTCCAGAATTTTTTATCTCTTTTCGATCATTTTCGGAGAATCCTTGGGCTTCATAAAATTTCTCTACGCACTCTCGCCTCTCCATCTTTGGAGAATAAGCGACAAAAAACCTTGTTTCTGCGTGATGCAGAAACAGACCGTGATTGGCTAGATCCGCTTATTTAGAAGGCAGAATTTTTATATGAGTCATTTTCTCACGAGAGAAAAGCGTAGGTTTCCGACAACCGACTCGACCAAAAATCGACCACAGACCACTTTCCGACCACTTTTCGACCAATTGTTTAAAAATCAATGTCCGGTCGGGTCGGTCCGACCAAAGCCCGATCGACACCCGACAATGTCGATTTGGTCGATGGTCGGCGCTGACCCTATGCGTCAAGCCGAGAGTCAACAGATACAAGGGACCACGCCGCCGGTGCGAACCCATGCAGAGACAACAACAAGGCCCAAGTTTGAGCAAAGACTCGTTGTGAGCTCTGAGTAAACATAATCAAGGCCCAAAACCGAGAGAAATCGGCGACTCCGATGGTGAATCGGAATATTAATATCATCATTTTTTCGCCGTATTCGAAAACCTAAACTTTATAAAAAGTCAATTCTTAATACAATAAGGATTTGGATTTTGAAAAATAAGGTCCTCCAATCGTGCGGAACCCTAATCAAGGGTGTATTGAGCATGAGATTCGGATCAAGCTCAGCCGCGGATAAGCCACAAAAGTGAAAAAGAGAAGATTCAAAAATGGAATTCGCTAAAACTTTGCCTTGGCCACACGTGCAAAACATTCCAACCGAATCCGACGTCACCCGGTTTTATCAGATTTGGGCCAATTGGTTGCAAGTCGGGTGGCACAATTAATACCCATCATTTTTGGTTCGAAGCGGGGAAATTTGAGTTTTCATTTTAATAGGTTTTTGTAATGCACGTTTTCTTGACAAAACATTCTGCTGATTTAAGTCTACTTGTACCATCAAGTCCTCCACATGCATAAATATATCCATCTTGATGATATGTCGCTTAATTATGCTCGAATTCAGAAGGATTTTACAAAAACGTGTCCTTTTTCAAGGCGTTATACATAGTCTATGTACTTAGCTAAGTTCCTGCTAAGTAAGCATACTTTTATTCGATTTTACATGTAATGGTCTTGAGTTGTGATTCTGGGCAAGGCCAGAGTAAGGTAAAATGGGCATGGACCATAGGCAGGGTTCTAAACGGACATGTCCGTGTACGGATTTTATCCGTGTCTGTCCGGTCTTCTCCGTACGGACAGACTAGACTTTTAGTCTATTGGTTGAGGAAAAACAGACAGCCTAGATCGGACTTTTGTCACGATCCGGACAAAATCCGTATTTGTCCGTGAAATCCGGACAACCCCAGACTTTTGTCCGTGGTCGTGAGTTGTCACCTGGGGACCAGGTACCAAGATTGGAAATTTTTCCTAATCTGGGGACCTGGTACCAAGATTAGCTTTTATTTCTAACCTGGGGACGAGAGTACCAACATTGGGATTTTTTCTAATCTTCAGAAAGGTTCGGGCTTATAGGTAGCGGCACTGACGGACATGAGGTCGTCGAAGCCGAGTTGGCGGTGACGTCGGTGATGAAGCAGCAGCTAACACGTGAGTTAAATAAAAATTGGGATGACTTACCGGGCTGAAAGCGTGGAAATGCTGGACGTAATTGGCGAGCGTAGCAATTTTTTCAGCTGACGACAACGGCCTGATCTTAATGCGATCGCGAATCTTGGGACTTCATTTTTGGCTTATATCATGTTCTAGATCAGGGTGGGGAATGTCTTAAGAAAATTCAACGGCACCGGCACGGCACGGCACACCAAAATTCCTGTGCCGCGGCACGGCACGGCACGGCAAAAAATTTAAGAAAGCGTGCCGGGACACGGCACAGCACGGCACGGCACAGTTTTTCCTTTTTTCTCGTAAAAACACTCAAAAATATTTGAATATAATTTTATTTAAGGACCCCCGTCAACAATTTTCGAAAAATCTATTTTTGGAGTTTCAAAATTTTGACCCAAGAAATGGATTCTACAGGTCAAAAACGATTTTGAGGCTTCATTTTTTGGGGGTCTATCTCGACTCTAACACCCTCAAAATCGCGTTTGAAAATCGGACTTTTTGACGAAAAATGACGAAAAAGTTCCAATTTAGCTAAAATTTCAGATTTTTCTTGGTCAAAAAGTGCTCCGAATAAGTTTTTATGATAAATTGAACTTCAAGGATAACTAAGAAGCCAAAATATGGCTTTTTTGAAATTTTCGATTATTTGAGGAAAATTGTTGACGGGGGTTGGGGGTCCTTAATAAATTCGTCTGCAACGAAGGTATCGGCCGAGAAATCTCGTGAAAAATTATTTTCGAAAAATTTTTAATTTTTTTGAAATCTGAATAAAAACCATAATTTGAATTAAAACCTGGCTAAATTGTATTTTAACAGTTAATGGGGGTGGGTGGGGTTTGGGAAGTAACAGTAAATTGATCACCTCAGAGTTCCCTGCCATTGTCAAGCCCCTTAAATTAAAAATCAAGGAACGGGGCTGAAACGGCCCGAAGGGCCGTCAAGCCCTTAAATTAAAAATAAAGGAACGGGGCTGAAACGGCCCGAAGGCATTTTTGCCTTTCGTCGGATGACAACAAATTTTCCCATATTTTTGAGACAAAAATGAATCATAAGGGTTATAGGGGAAGGCCCGAGTCTACCGCATGTTTCTATCGCCCGAACCAAGTATGATTCAAAATGTGTTCTTTAAATTGGACTCTTGATGATTCTTTCTTTCATTCTTTCAAAAATATTTTTCTGCCAACAAATCAGAGAAATGGATCAAAAATCCCCATCGAGATCTTCATGCACTTGAACCCAGCAATCTTCAAGCGATCATGGATCAACAAAGGACTACCTCAAAAGAATTATTTTCGAGAAGAAATCGAGCAGTTTGAAGATCTCGATGTTGCAGAAAATATTCTGGACAAACAAGAATTAGTCGAGCATTTTCTGGCGCTTCAAATGGAAGAGCTACGACTCGGCGAGTCGTAGCTCCCCGCTTTAAATTGATGAAACACGTCCTTGGACTCCGATGGAGATGGAAGAAATGCTTCAAGTTCAAGTGACAAACAATGCTGACACTGAATTTTTAGCCATCGAGTTCAAAATGGCCGAAGACACAGTCGATG